TTTTTTTTTTTTTTTTGTTAATAACTAAAACTATTCTTCCATCATTCGTTTCCCTTTCTTTTTCGAACATAACCTACAATTTGTGTCCGTCCATTATCAATGCACCGTACTTATATATTCCCCTGTTAATAACTCGCAATTGTTTTTTCAACTTTCTTTCCCGACAATTTGTGAATGGGCGTGTGTACTTTCTACGATTATTCCGTTACACGTTGCTATCACGATTGTACGATGAGTCATGCTATGCTTACGCATCTTCCATATCGTATCGTATCCACGTAACGCATATTACACACAACACACAAGTTTGCTTCTAGACACGGTTCACGTACGACAGCTGTCATGAGACTCGAGACACGATACGTCGAATACGCGTCAGTTTACATCTGAATGATCGTACACCACGCGTAACATTCAAAACAATATCGTAGCGTAATGCTTGCGCATTCTGCGCACGTTCTTCTTCAATTAATTAATTAATCCTTTCGGCAATCATCGTTTCGAGACATTGAATTATTCACGTGATCATTTCTTGAAAAAATATATATACGATATATAAAATTTATTATCATAAAATGAATTTAAAATAATTTAATTTCGAGGATTATTATTATTTTTATATTCACTTATTGATTCTTGAATGATATGATGGATGGTCATCATTTATAACTCGTACTGCAATATATTTTGAAAAAGAAAATATTTTTTAGAGATTAAAAAGAAAAAAAATATTTCTGAATTAGCATATACCAGAAGATAATAATTTTTGTAAATAAATGAATGATCGATATGAATTGTTTCTCAGAATATTTTTAATATAATATAATATTCTTAAAAAATAAAAGAAAATTCAATTCATGCTAAGAAAAGAGCAACTGAGTCACTTGTGATCCGTATTATAATCTATATATCTAAGAAATTATTTTTCGACAAAATATTTTCGAGATTGATAAATTGAAAAAAAAAAAGTTTCTTTGCAAATAATTTGCAAATAATTAGCTAAAAGAGAAGAGATTATTATTTAATTAAATAAGAAAAGGATTTTCGCGAGGAGCTTCGAAGCAAGGTTCGCGGCAGCTGACAATGAGTTTATTAGATTACTTCACTGCGTGGCGCATCGTTGCAACTTGACCCGTCCAATTCCGACGGTTGACTTAACGCGCCTACGCTCTCTTGAGGATATTCGACGAGTCTTACCTATGTAACAACAATTTGTCCGCATTCCAAACGTTTCCATCCAATGTCGGATCACGTATTTTCTAACGTATCTTCAACAGTTTTTTAAAATACAACTTCCTTTTAATAATTATCAATCTTTCACAATTTTATAATGCTAAAACATAATTATTAAAAATATAATAGTTATTACAAATTTTTAATCAAGTTATGTGTGTAAATATAATATTTTTTTTTACGAATTAATAGCGAAATATTAATAAATGTAATATTAGAAATTTATCGTAACGAATGTAAGATTTTTATGTATGATTACGATGAATCTTTAATTTTTTTTCATTAATCATCGCGATTAATTATAAATCATTTCTGTATATTATATTTTGACATAAATAATTACGAATGAAAATTGTTGCGATACGCAAGTTGAGAAACACTGTTCATATAGATACTGTATTCAAATTCAAATTCCCGAATGCCACAGAAAAAAAACGTATTAAACGAACAAAGTATGTAAATTATTTTACATATGTATAGAAATACTTAATCATTCGCTGTATTCATTTGCACAAAAATATCGAATAACGAAATAATTCCATGTTCCTATAAATGTGTATTCTGTGAGGTCTGTGAAAGCTATACTAGGAAACCTTAATGAGTTTAAAATATAACAAAACATAGAAACATTTTGTTACCTTAACCTTTAGAATACTACTTTCAAAACAGAATGACTGGATCAAAAATTAACCATGAAAATAGATTGAAATTTAATTTTTATTATTTAATATATTTTTATTTTTTATTATATAATATATTTAAGTATATTTTATAATTATAATATATTATAATTTTTGTTACCTAATTAACGTTATGGCCAAACATTAAATCAATAAGTTAAAAATGATCTGATCGAATCATAATATTTTATAATTGCATACAAACGTTTGATGTAATTGCAAAAAATTCAGTCTAACTATTACTAGGATCCATATCGCGTAGTTCAATACGAAATAAGTAAATGCAATGTATCGAATCGAGATAGAATATACATGAGACAATGCTAATGCAGAAATTAAAATTGTACATGTAAAATTTTATATTTATATATTTTTTTTTCTTTTAATAATAATGATTTTAAATAAGATTTTATTGAATAATTTCAATCATATTTAATAGGTAAGAAAAAAATTAAGTTTATATTTATTAAAATTATGATGATATAATACTATTCAAATTATTTTAATTAAAAAAACTTAATTAAAAAAACACGTTAATAAAAATTTCATTAAAAATAAAAAAATTTTCCATTTGCATTAATATTGTCTCGTTTATGTTTTTTTCGAAGACTTCAGTTTTTTATCTTTCATTCGTTGTCTCTTTCTATGTTCGACAAAAAAATGTAAACAAACCTCAAACTCCGATCAAACTATCAGAAATACAAATGAATATCTACTGTTGGATAAACCTTCAGTTCCGAATTTTTCATAATTATAAATCTTAAATCTCTTAAGATATATTTTATATTATATTTACGATGCATTCGTTTCGAAAGAAATGTATAACGAAATTGAAATATCGCATTGTTGTCTCAGATAAATTCACGAACAAGAAAAGCACGAAGAAAAACGTTTAAATTCACAAAGAGATAGAACGTATAGACTATCGTGGGAAAAAAAGTCTATAAAGCTTGATTACGCGAACGAGGGTCAGCTAGAATGTCGCGTGTACGCGTCATTATGTTGTTATAGTGGTGTATAAGCTCGCGACGAAATAATCGCGATTTGCACGCCCTCTTACTTGACTTTCCCCGTCTTTTATTTCTTATATGGGAAAATAGTTCATGAATGCCAAGCACGCGCGAAACATTTTGTTCGCTCATTTTTATCTAACCGGGGAATTTAAAAATGACGATTGTTTTAATAACGGATAGTACATTTGTCAGATTTAAAAATTTTTTTTTTATTGATACATTTAAATGCATGCATCTTTATCCTATATAAGATCGGATATCTAAATATTTTTATAAGAATATTATGTAAAATTTTTAA